GCAGGACACACAACCAGGCTCTGAATGACGATTAATCTCGGCAAGTTTAATTAGTTTTTTTTTAACCGCTATGAATGATACATAAAAATTTAAGACGATACTACTATAAGGTCACCCGTGTCCTGTTTCAATTATTGGGTGTTTACGATCAGGTTTGTTACAAAACCGACGAAAACCTACAAAGACAGCGAAAGAAAACCAAGTCTAGTATTACATCAAATGTTCACTAACACGAGCGAGTAATTATCCTAGCCCTCATCGTCGCTGTTGTTGTCATTATTGCTATCTTTATTGTTGTTTTTTTCCTTGTTCCTGCAGGCCAACCGTTGACACATTTAAATATAGCATAGAAGTACAGTTCATTCATCCTCAAATAATCCTTTTTTTACGTCATGTGGCTCTTATGTCTATCAGATAAAGGCTTTAAGAGCCACATGACGTATTGCTTCTTAAATGCGTTGAAAATGTTGAAAGTAAGAGTGCGTTTCTTTGTTGCTGCGGTTATTTATATCATATGATATTTTTTATCTCAACGCTAACTTTGGGAAACGAAGACGGATCCTCCTTGTTGACGCGTTTCAAGCCTGCCTTTTTAGTATCCTTCTGAAGGCCAAAACAGCCCTCGTCTTTATTGATATCTATCACCAGTCCAAATTGACATTTTCCCATCTTGTTCAGACCTCTGGTTTGAATTGCTTCTCTTGTTTTCATGGTCATCTCCCGTCCAAAAACACCTGAATAGTGAAAAATAGTCAGTTGATTGGTTACCTTATCCGAAGTCATAATTCATCGACTGAGGGGGGGTGGATGTTGGAGGATTTAAGGGGGGATCACATGGTTTTAAGGGTGAACGGAGGGAGATCAGTCGTCGCCAACATAGTATAGAGGGTGATCATAGAAATTTGACCGCCAATCAGCTGCCAATGACGGGGGATAGGGGGTGGGGGGAAGGGAAGGAACTAAAAGAGAAGAGCCTCAGGGGGGATTACGTAATACTATCTCGACAAAAGCAAAATCCTCCGCACCCTCCTCCCCCGGCGATAAATGACGAACGGTCCCTAAGATACTCTACTTCCTTACTCCAAAGTTCCAGATGCCAATATGCAGAAGAAGTTATACAACCAATAGCTATTTGTGCCTCTCTGAATGGAGAGATCCACACTAAGTTTCCCGGCATTTTTAAACAAGCAATCAGCAGAGTGCGATATTACTTAGCTTCTACTGCTTTTTTTAAACAATGACTCGCGGTTTAAATTCACAATGAAACTGTGGGTGAAAAAGTTTCTTTTCCTAAATACTCTCTAGATTTGGAGACTAGCTCGATTTTACCTGGTACGCGGTTGTTCAACAGCTTTCCTACTCTATGCGTACGTTTACAATCGACTTCTTTGTGGTACTGGTATGATGTCTAAACAAAAGAAAAGTGAATTTTTAGTAACAAAAAAAAGGCATAAAAGGAGCTCAGGAAATTAATAGAGCAACAATTTTACGATTTGATGTCAGCTATGGCTTTCAGTGGCTTCCCGTTTTTCCACAGAGAAATCCGCTGGTAGTGACTTGTAGAGTTTGCGATACGATGTTGCAAAATTTTTACAGGGAATGTGTTCCTTTTCAGGTCATGTATCAAGTACAATATACCCTGTCACTTATTTATCTTACCAAAGAGAAAAAGTGACTTTACTAACGTGCCTCGTCCTCCAAAGCACACATGCCCCTTTGGATAAATATGTCGTGAGTTTTAAAGACACAAAACACCCAGAGAGCTCAAGGTACAAGAGTATAGTATATGAACAACAGATACCTGGCAATGTTGTTCACCGCTTACTAGATCTTTCACCATTTTGGTAGTAACCTGTACTTTAAATCCTTTCTTCTCCAGCGCAGCCGTCTTCAGCATTTCACGGACCTCAGACTCTGGGAGTCGAAACTTGCGATTACGAATTTTCACATCCAGCAACTCATCAGAGTTGGCATCTGTATTATAAATGGAAATTTATCAAACTTAAATTTTGCATCTAAAATGCAAAATAATTTCAGAAAAGCCATCTAAAAACTGGTTAATTCCATATTCAATTCAAGAGACCGTCTCATGCATGAACAAGCATAGTGTACCCAAGCTCATGTTTCTATAATTTACGAATGGTTTCTGGGACACTTGAACGCTTTAATCAAAGTGCCTCTGACTTTGTGTCCACATTTATTTTAAAAAATATAGAGAAGCAGTTGAATTACAACACTTCAAATGCAAAATGTACACGTACGTGTCTCAAAAATATTATTTATGAAACGTCGCTAAAATTTTCATCAAAATATTAGAAACCGCTCTGTAACGCTATGAAGAGAGGGGTAAGGCAAAACTAAACAAAGAGATACGAGTGTGCTGCAAACCACAAACTTGAAAAAGGTGGGTTAGATATTTCAAGGGGCAGAAACCGAAATGTAGTTCTTTAAAATGATGCATAAAATTAAAGCCTATCGGGCTCACCTGCTGTATTCCACAGAGAAAAAACTACCAGAATCGTTACAAAAATGCCAAGATTCATCTTGAAAGACTTGAATAGACTTAAAGCTTTGCCAGAGAGTAACTTTCAGTCCTAGCCAGAATTTATAGCATGCACAACTTCCTTGAAGCTTCCTCGCAACTTAGTTGCAATCTGCTCTCCGCTAAATGAAGGAAGTGCATATATGGGTTTAATTTCAAAGAAACCCTCCAAAAATAGTTGTGACATCATTCTGAAAGTGCAAAGGTCCTGTTTTTACTATTCAGCTTACACACCTGCATTTCATTCTTTCCTTTCTTCAATAAAAGCATTTTTAAAATTTATCGCTGAAACGCGGTTAAGAGCATCTGACCGCGAAGTATTGTCGGTGTACTAGAAAGGGATTCTGGACTGCTCACTTAGCTTCCGCAGTCGTGCTTCGGTATGACTTCCTTTCGTTAACTTAGTTGCAATCTGCTTTCCCGTTAATAAAGGAAGTGCATATGTACCAATTCAATTCCAAAGAAACCCTCCAAACTTACTAGTTATGACGTTATCCTGAAATGGTAGGAGTCCTGCTGTTACCATTCAGCTTACACAGTTGAATTTTCTTATTTCTTCCAATCAGTTACATCTGATCGTGAGTGAATGTATTGTTGGTTTTCTAGGAAGACATTCTTGACTAGTCACTCAGCTTCCGTGGTCGTGCTTTGTTTTTACTACCTTTCGTGGAAGCCAGTCTATTTTCCGCTTCCCGCTTTAATGAGCTGGGAAGCATCTGACCGTGAAGGTAACCAGCCATTGTGTGTCACGGGCTAGATGGGACTCTCTGCTTCTTTCTTAGATTTCATGTCTACAAACAAAAATAGGGTTTTCATTAACCATCAGACTTTAAACTAAAATGTTTCAGGTTTTCCAAAGGGGCAATGGGGGTAAGGGGGGGGGAGGGGGAGTCGCAGTGTGCAAATTATCGAATCAATGCAGAGCTACCAAGTTCAAACGTCAGATCATTAAAGTATTTCTGCGGAGAGAAGTTTATTTCATTCAAAATGTTTTTTGAATAACAATAACCTACCATAAAAAATGCAATAATCCACCGATGGGATGGAAGGCTCTATACCTTATGGGATTCCATTATCATTATGATGACAGCGGTCTGAACCTACATAAAGTAAGCTTGTAAACATATTAGTAATCGAGAACAATGATTTCTTTTCGAAACACCAGACGTCGCGTACTGAAAAGATAACTCTTCAGAAGACTCTCTTGTCGAGCAATCTTTCCCTTATCACGCGAATAACGCAGGAAGAGTGATAGGCAATGAAGTAGGCTGAGGTTACAATCTTACAAACTTTACAGCCATCAAATGATTTGCACTTGCACAATGAGGATGATAACATTGCTAAGTCTGGTGCTAAAAATGGAATTTTATTCAATTTAATGCGACGTTCTGCATAAAAAAAACTTTCAGGTGGTTCTTATGACAGCGCATTTCAAGGAAAATAAAATTTTGTCTTATAAAACATCTTTGACAATCTCTTGTTTTGTCAATGAAATTCCTTCACGAGCTATGTAAGAAAATTAGGAGTTTACAATATTGCAAAACGTAATTATTAATCAAAGAAAGATAACCGTCACCTTTTAAGTTGCATCTTTACAACTGATAAAACTGAAATGACTGCTGAGCGTTTCTAGGAATTGAAAAATTTATATTCTATGATTTATCTTCAGACGCTTCTCAAAGATACAAATTTACATACGGTAAAAGCCTCTTTGTTTCTCGCAAACAAAAGAGCTGTGGGAGGTGACCCGAAAAATTGTTTTTCGAAGAGGGTTTCAAAAGAACCTTTATTCTAGGAAAGCCAAAGATTAGATATAAATATATATATATATATCAAAATGCATTTGAGTTGAAATTAAAAACGGTTTATTTTCATGGTTTGAAAAAAAAGACTCAAGAACTAAATCAAAAGTTTTTGCGAACGGAAAAGCAATAAAATCCCTCGTACAGCCCAGCAAAGTCCAACGCTTGATTAGGCACAGTGAAGCGTGTTGGATTAGTCACAGGGTAGTGCACGATTTACCACAAGACGATGCTTTTTCGATCCCAGGACAGGGTTCGATTTGGAACAGTTTAGCAGGTGGACTAAGTACCATACGACACTCTGATCTGCTTAAGTGGAGGAGATTGTTTTGATAAGACATAAAATACCAGCAAAGTAGTTTGGCTCAGTAAAATGCCGTTTCAGGAAGAGTGCAGCGCTCTCAAGGATAAGAACAATACATAAATCCCTTTTGGGGAATCTTTTCTCTTTTTTTTTTTTTTTTTTTGAAAAAAAACGTCGCTCTATATAGGAACATTTTTCCCTACTGAAACAAAACGGCATTCGAAGTCCAGGTAGGAATAATTTGCAGAATATAGCAAAGTAAGTACAGAAACTAGTGTAGCCAACCGATGAATCATAGGTGGGAAAAGGGTTAGGGTGAAGTGAAAGCAGTCAAGTTAACACTGAAAAGAGCAATAGCAACCACATTTATTAGCATAAGTTCCCAATTTCCGCCTTATTAACTTTAACTTTCTTAACAGCTTCATCACTCTTCCTCTGAGTACTTTCGCTTCTGTACGTTTATCAGTTTCGTTTCCGTTGTGAGTACATTTACGCGCGTAATAGTGTACTATCATTAACAAGCCATCGGTTAAAAGGTTTTGAATTGTTTGTGCGTTACAAGAAGGGGATACCGGTATAGTTTAAACGAGGAACTCTGAAAACTACACCCTGGAGCTTAAGTCTTATAGATGCTCTAATACTGAAGCCAACGAGTCGACGGATCCTTTTCTTCACATTCTTGCTCTTGCGTCTCACATCGCAGCCCTTGCCTCCTCTAAAATCAACTTCCAGTCCCATTGTACACTTCCCATTACTGCCGAAATGCCTGTCTTTCACTTCCTTTGTTACCCAGCGAGACATTTCTTTTCCGAAAGCACCTTGAGAAGAAAGAAACATTGCACCAGTTAGATTAAACCTAATCCGAATAACCTCGCGAAAAATTAATAATGCGCCCCCACTGCGTTTATCAAACTTAATCACTTGGTGAAAAATAAACCACGAGTGTTCAGCATGATTTGTCGATTAATTCGAATCTTCAACATCCCCCCCGGGCAACCCACGAGCATTTGACTGTCGTCCGTAATTTTAACATTACCTGGGTGGGGTGGGAAAATTAAATTAGCGGAAATACACGAGTTTTCGTTATAAATGTGAAGGATTTTATAGGCTTAGAAGAAAATCCAAACATCGTAGAATGATACATTCAAGCAAAAAATCAAACAGCGGCACCAAAAACTAGTTCGAACATTTGCCAAATTCTACATTATTCGTTGATCACAAAGAATCGTTTTAAAAAATTGTGCTTGGGTGGGGCATTTGAACACAACTTTTTGCCGGAATGGGGGTGGTGGGAACTTGAATGAATCAATCTTTAAAGGTTAAAATACCCGAGGGCTACTCAGGGAATTATTGAAGCTTCGTATTGATCGACGCCTGACGACAGTGTTATGTTTGCGCACTGGTTGAAAGTATTATTTCAGGACATATCTTAATTACTTTAACGCAGAACAACAGACATGCCTTTAAGAAATAGCTATACAGGCACATGGTGAAAATATCAAGATTAACCAACCGGAGGATTATTTGGAAAAACAGAAAATGCTTTAAAACTGTTTTTGCCTCATTAGCCGGCTGTGATTCATCGCTTTCAACGGACAATAGATGAATTTTTTTACTACAGATTTCCTTGCACTATAAAGATTAGTACCTGGTAAAGATGAGTTCAATTCCACTCCCGTCTTTTGAATGGCTCCCACAGAACAGTTAACAACTTTTTGATAATTGTACACCGTCTGAAGAAGCAAACAAAGCATGTTTTAAATATATTGTTCACGTCTTGTACAACAATGAAAATTAACACTCATTCATAAATGAAATTTTGGTTGTATCATAATAAAAGTTACCTGATTCTCCCTTCCCCCCCCCCTTAGGCTCTGTAAGATAGGATTCCGATGATCCCCTCTCATTGGCCGCTAACGTTCTACAGCACCTCCTTTATACTCTGTTAGCGACAGCTGTCGCCCCTCCGTTCCCCGGAAAACCTTGCGATCCACCAAATCCTCCGACTGTCCGCGTGAGGAGTTCCCGTGAGGAGTCCCCGGGAGGAATCGAACCTCAAACCTTCGGAGTCCACGCTCAAATGCTCTACCACTGAGCCACAGAGACTTAAACGAATTTCATATCTGTCACGCGTCCTGCATACTGTTAGAATTAGCAATGTCGATAGAGTCATGATTTGTAAATAGATTTAGAAAGATGATAAGTTTTAAGCTCGGTAAAGAAATAGAGAAAGATGCTTTTTCGTCTTGTCACGCGCTTGGGATAATGAAAAGGACGCGTGTCATACATGAACTTCGTAATGGGCCTTGCTCACCATAGTCTCACAGTCGCACAATGAAATATTGTTGATACCGCTAGTAAAAAAAAATTAGTATTGTACATCAAAGTATAACTTGTAGAATTGTAAGTAATGTTTAGTAGTGTTAGTAACATAGGTTTATGTAATCAATTTATGATATTGAAGAAAAATAAATAGATAAATACACTACTAGTTATTCTCCTAGTAAGCATAATTCTTACCTCAAAATCCGATTTGGCTCTTCCAGGCTTCTGAAACGACTTTCTGACAACTTCTTTTTGGAAGCCACGGATTTCGAGGTTTGCCTTCTCTAACATGTTACACATTTCAGACGACGAGGGTCGAAAACTGGAAGGTTCTTTCACTTTCATTTGCAAGTCTTCAGTCGAGGCACCTTTAAAGACAACCAAAACAAGAAATTATTAAGCCCTGTCGACGTCGACTAGTTGAAGGTTAGAAAGTTCGAAAATCCAGCTACAATTATTTTTCTACCCAAGCAGACAATAACACTTTCATTACTTGACCGCTTGGGAAACACAGAAGAAATGGGATATTGAAGGGAGAATTTTTGGGAAAGAAAACTTGGAATAGCGAACCATTAACCTGAGTTTGGTAAGTTTTTGAGCTCGGTAAAGAAATAAAGAAAAGTGGTTTTTCGTCTCTTCACGAGCGTGGGACAAAAAAATTCTGAGTGCCCATCAGGAATCGAACCTCAGACCTTAGGATTCAAAGGACGATATTGCTGATTCTAGCAGTATGCAGGACGTGTGTCATATGAACTACGTAATAGACCTCGCTCACCGTGGTGTCTCTGTGGCTCAGCGGTAGAGCATCGGAGCGCGGAATCCGAAAGTCTGAGGTTCGATTCCTTATGGGGAATCAGAATTTTTTCCTTGTCCCACGCTTGTGACAAGACGAAAAAACATCTTTCTTTATTTCTTTACCGAGCTTAAAAACTTATCATTTCTCTTATTTCCATCTACAAACACTACGACATCGACACTGCTGATCCTAGCAGCATGCAGGACGCTTGTCATATGAACTTTGTAATAGACCCCGCTCACCGTGGTGTCTCTGTGGCTCAGTGGTAGAGCATCGGAGCGCGGAATCCGAAGGTCTGAGGCTCGATTCCTCATGGGGACTCAGAATTTTTTCTTTTGTCCCACGCTCGTGACAAAACACGAAAAAACATCTTTCTTTATTTCTTTACCGAGCTTAAAAACTTACCATCTCTCTTATATCTATCTACAAACATCACGCTATCGGCACTGCTAATCCTAACAGTATGCAGGACGCGTGTCATATGAACTTCGTAATAGACCTCGCTCACCGTGGAGTCTCTGTGGCTCAGTGGTAGAGCATCGGAGCGCGGAATCCGAAGGTTTGAGGCTCGATTCCTCATGGGCCGCACTCAGAATTTTCTCTTTTTCCCGCGCTCATCTTTCTTTAACCTCAGTTTATTACAGTATTATTTAGGCAAGGAGTTGCGCTTTTTTTTAAGCGCAAGTCTAAAGAAGACTAGTCAGGGTTCTGTTTTATCCTGAGACTTGCCACTAAGCTTATTTTAGCTTACGAATGGCAGTTTTGAAGATCGGCTTCGTTAAGTATTCCTGATTAGGCACGGTACTACAACGCATCATTTAAAAAAAAGCTTAAAAGTGGATTAACTTACCAACCGCAGAATCCTGAATGAAAATCAAACTCACAAGGATCATAAAGCCACGAACTGTTTTCATTTCGAATCGAATTTCAGGAATAGCTGGTAAAAATCTCTTTTACGAGCTTTGGCTCAGGCTGTTTGCGCAAAAGAGAGTAAGACGTGATAGTTTATAGCCACATTCACAACTGAGATGAAAATACGATATGTGCAAGGTTTATAAAGCGTTAGGTCATGTTTATGATAGCAAAATATTGGATATGGTTTTTTTTCTGTCCTTATTAAAAGGAAAAAAAATGACATGGACAATATCCTTTCATAATGATTGAACAGACTTCGTTGTGGTGTTAATTTTTTTGACTTACTGCAAGACTTACAGCCTATGTTTTCTGTTGCCGTATTGCAAAACCATTCTCTGGAAAATCCTTTTCTTTGCAAAAAAAAATTTAAAAAAGGAAGAAAAAAAACATCCCCAGACGTTACGAAGTATATAAATCAGCTGCCAGACTTTTTTCGTGCAGAACTAAACGAAAGCGGGCAATCCCATGGGGGCATGACATGACCTGACATACTCATACTGCCCGCTCATGTCGCCAATCAGAAGACAGGATTACCGTGATTACCATCACTCTTCGAACCAAATGATATGGACGTCATATTGAGTTAGGTGTTTTCATGGCAACATTTTCAACCTTAAATATAGTTCAAAGATGATAAATGAGACAAACAATAGTTGATGACATCACGTAAATATTTCGGCTCGAATTTAGTCGGACGTTTCGTTGTAGTATAGTGACATCACTTTTAAGAATAGCCTTTTCTCGGGGTTTAAGTTGCAAATGTATAAAGATTGTAGCGCAAAGTGAAAAAAGTAAAAGGTTTGTGGGTTCTTCACGCTTCATGCTTGCAGCTTTGTTATGAGAAAAAGTGTTGATAATATTGTTCTGAATATCATGATAACTACAAGTACTTTCTACACTTCTAGTACTCGAAGGTTATTCCCTGCATATACTATATTACTCGATTCTAGAAGCTTTTTCCGGTTTACTTTATCAATAGCTATGGCGACCTGTAACACAGCACTTTAAAATTCATTGTAATCCGTTCACTAAACCTTTATTAATGTTAGGTGTGGACGTGATGTAAGATTTATTTGGTCTTGTTCCAGAACTAGCCAATTTCACCCCCCCCCCCCCCTCGCAATCTATTACCAGAAAACAATCCAGGCGCCCATAGAAACACAATCTGATAGATCTATGTTGGATCGGCTAGTTGTTCTCTCACAGCGAACTTATTTTTTTTTAATTTCTTTTTAACCCCTCTCTTTGTGTTTTCCTTTTTTCATAACCTGCAACGCCACTGAAATATTTAGAAAATGTTGATTTTTCATAATATAAATGAAGAGTTTTCTTTGCAAGACGGAATTTACTGATTTTGATGATACAGTCTTCTTCAACTCAACGACTATTACATCCTTATTTCTAAAGTCTATCATCAATTTTTGGATTTAACGATTTTCCTTTTATCTAAACTCCTTTGTTTGTGTGATGTGCCTGACATGTAGGACACATATTGCAAAATTAGAACTGCGCAATAGTTACGCCGGACACTTTTCTTACTTGGAAAAGAATAGAACGCTTTTCGGTTTGAATGTCATGCCACCAGCTGCCCAAGGTGCGTAAATTTAACAGGCATAAGAGAGCTTTCCTTGAAGAACGCAAAACAACAGAAGAGTTATCTCGAGCACACAATAAGTTCGACGAGAGCCCTTTCCTTGCTAGTGCATGTCTAAACACCGCATGGTCAAGCAAAGAACTACAATTTCTGAACTGCGTGTTTGACAATTTGGTTAACGGGTTGCTTATCGGATTATTAACATTCACATTTACCGTTTTGTCTGAATATGAGCGAGACGCTCTTCTTGCCATTTAGCACAGATCTTAATTGATATTAAGATGTTCTACTTTCGGATTGTTTCAGGAAAAATAAATCAGCTTCGTCGTTTATACGTGGTTTGATTTAGCTCATTAATTATCTTACTGTAGACAAACACAAAACTTTGTTTTATAAACAAATATTTGTAACTTAGAAAAGCAAATGAATTCAAATACTTTTTAAAAAGAAGAGAAAAAGGATCTAATCGGTAATCCCAAAATCAAATAAAAGTGAAAGAACACTCAAGTTTTCGACCCTTATCGTCTGAAATGTGTGACATGTTAGAGAAGGCAAACCTCGAAAACCGTGGCTTCCAAAAGGAAGTTGTCAGAAAGTCGTTTCAGAAGCCTGGAAGAACCGGATCGGATTTTGAGGTAAGAATTATGCATGTTAAGAAAATACATAGCAGTTTATTTATCTTTTTATTTGTTTTCCTTTAATGCCATACATCGTTTACAAAAACCTACATTACTATCAGTACTTAACATTACTTACAATACTAGCACTTGTACTTTGATGTACAGTACTAATTTTTTTTTTAAGTGCAGTACCAACAATATTTCATTGCTTACCAAGGTGATAACGATATTATCATTACTGATAACACAAAATGACCAGTATTTATTGCTTGGGAAGTGGTGGGCGGGTCAGAGGCTTTGGAGGGTCACATGGTTATTGCCGTGTGTCACTCAAGATCGAGCCAATGACAACTTTGAAATCTAAACTATAAGAAACAGAACGAACTGTTTTCTAGCTAAGATCTACACTATCATTCCATAGAACAAGGTTTAAAATATAACTAAAGAAAGCTGGTATAGTTGACACGGGGAACTCTGAAAACCAGACCCTTGAGCCTCAGTCTTATAGATGCTTTAATGTTGAAGCCGAAGAGTCGACGGATCCTTTTCTTAACATTCTTGCTCTTGCTTCTCACATCGCAGCCCTTGCCTCCCCTGAAATCAACTTCCAGTCCCAATGCACACTTCCCGTTGCTGTCGAAATGCCTCCCTTTCACTTCCTTTGTTACCCAGCGGGACATTTCCTTTCCGAAAGCACCTTGGGAGAGAAAGAAATTTTTCGCCAGTAAGATTACACCTTTCTGGAAAAACCTCGCAAAAACAAAATTAATGGTGTGCCCTCACTGCGTTTAACAAACTTAAACAGTAGTAAAACAATAAACCACGTTCGGATAACAATATTGCGTTTAAGCAATGATCAGGACACATTTTAATTCATTGTTTTCATGCAATAGAAACGAACATGTTCTTTACCATTTCGCCAATAAGAAATGGTCAGACTGGCAGATGGTACGGAAAATATCGAGATCAGTAAACCGAAAAAATTTCTACGAAAACAGAAAATGTCTTGAAATTGTTTTACGCGCCTCATTAACCAGCTGTATTTAATTCTTAGCTTTTAACATTCTTTAAATGGATTATTTTAAATACAGACTCACTTATAAAGATCAGTACCTGGCAAAGATGTGTTCAATTCCACTCCCATTTGTTGAATGGCTCCCACAGAGCAGTTCACCACCTTTTCATAATTGTACACCGTCTGAAGAAAAAAATAACTGCCAGTTTGAAATGTATTATTCATTTTGTATACAATCATAAACATTAACGTTGATCAAGAGAATATAAACTGTTCTCTTGCACCTCTTCCTAAACAGAAACGACAAGCACACATGGTACTTATCAATCCAATTTGTAGAGATTTCCCTGTTTAAAAAAAAATAAACTAGGTATTACATACTTCCCTGTAACAACATTTAATACAAGATTAGTTTTGAACTAATGTTTTTCGTAATGTTTCATCATTATCAGAGTTTATTATATTTGCAATGCCTATCAGAGAAGAAAAGCGTACAAACATTTATAAAAGAAAAAAATTACGGTATTGCTTGCATTATCTTTCAAATTTTTCTCAAAAAATAGTCAGTATGCTACGATCATTTTTTGCAAGCTTTTACATTATACTGTAATCTATTTGTACTGTTACTATTGAAAGTATTGTTAGGATCATTATTACATTAATATTGTCGGCGTTGCTAGTAAAAATGTTATTATTGTACATATAAGTAAAGCTAGTATTGTAAGTAATGTTTAGTAATATAGGTTTTTGTAAAAGATAAATGTATGATATTGAACAAAAAACAAATAGATAAATAAACTGCTCGGTATTCTCTTAGTATACATAATTCTTACTTCAAAATCCGACCCGGTTCTTCCAGGCTTCTGAGACGACTTTCTGACAACTTCCTTTTGGAAGCCACGGTTTTCGAGGTTTGCCTTCTCTAACATGTTACACATTTCAGACGACGAGGGTCGAAAACTGGAGGGTTCTTTCACTTTCATTTGCAAGTCTTCAGTCGAGGCACCTGTAAAGACAACAAAACAAGAGAATCCAGTTTCATTCAATCCTGAGCTCTGACAAAGTCGATAAGTTAAAAGTTTGACAGTTCGTAAATGCGGCTAAATTTACTTTTCTACGCAAGCAGAAAGTAACACTTTCATGACTTGACCGCTTTGGAGGCACAATAATAAATGAGGCAGGGAAGAGAGAATTTTTGTGGAAGAAAAACTGGAACAGCAGATCACTTGGACAGAAAATTGTTTCCGCTGAAGGAACTATGTCTAATGCCTTACAATATTTTTCAGGTAATGATCTGCGCCTTTTAAAAAGCGCACTTCTAATTAAAATTAGCCACGGTTCTGTGTTATCTGGTGATTTTCCAGCAACCTGATTTAAGCTTATGAACAACAGTTTTGAGGATCGGCTCTATTAAGCATTCCTAATTAGGCACGGTACTATAGCGCTTCATTAAGAAAACTTAAAGGTAGACAACTTACCAAACGCAGGAAAGTAAACAAAATTAAAACACACAAGGACAAAGATCATCAAGTCACAAGTTATCTTCATTTCGAATCGAGTTTCTACCGCGTCTTGTTATAATCTTTCTTTGAGCGTTGGCACCAGCTGTTTTGCATAAACGAGCTGAAGTCGTAATAGTTTATAGCCACAACCTCAATTGAGAATGGAAGAAAATGTATGTGCATGGTTTATCAAGCGTTAGGTCATGATAAAGATAGCTGGATATTGGAAAGTCATTTCTTTTTTTCTGTTCATATCAAAGTGAGGAGGACAATATTCTGCAATAATGATCGAATAGACTTCGAAGTGGTGTTCATTTCTTTGTCTCTCATCAATATTTACAGCAGCTGTGTTCTGTGACTCTCTCACTGCATTACTGGCTTCCGGTAAACTCTTTCCTTGGAGAAAAAAAGAGGAAGAAAAAAATCATCCTCAGAGGTTATAAAGTATTCAAGGCAGCTACAGGTCTTTTCTGTGCAGAATTAAAAGCGGGCAATCCCTGGAGGGCACATGACTTGACATACTTGTACTGCCCGTTAGTGTCACCAATCAGAAGACAGGATTCCCGTCATTTTCCGTATTCGGCGAGCCAAACAACTTGATAGGGAAGCCATATTGTGTAAGGAATTTTCATGGCGCCATTTTCAACTTCAAAATAAAAGCAACTCAATTGCAGAGATTTTTTGGTGATGATAGACCAGATAAACAATAATTGGTAACATCACGAAAATATTTCGTCTCGAATTGAGTCGAACGTTTCGTTGTTGTAGAGAGATACCACTTTTAAGACTAGCCTTTTCTCGGCCTTCGGAAAAAAACAGACCGTGACACAGAGCGAAAACAGTGAAAAGTTGGGGTGTTCTTCATCCTGGCAGCTTTGTTTCTGAACAAGAAATACAGGCAATATTGTTTTGATTATCATGATATCTACAAGTGATTTCTGTAATCGGGATCCTCACGATTATTCCTTTCATACACCGTATTGTTCAATTCAAAAAACACTTAAATAGGAATAGGCCTTCGCACTCTTTTGAACGAAATAAAATGACGATATGCTCATTATATTAAATTATGTGCGACAAAAAGGCAAAATGCGGTAACATGGGATTGATACACAACCAGAAGTCTCCAGAAAGGACAGCCGTTTTTCTATATTGGGTATTGCCTCAGTTGAAGCGTGTCTGAAACCATGCATGCATAGATAGTCAATTCAAAGACGTTTGTTATCAGGTACCAACCTATCAGCAAAATTTGGTTGAAGTTCAAACAACTGAGTTTAAAACAGCCTAATCAAAGACCCTTGATAACTTGGGAAGAGACCAGTGATGAATTGAAAGTGCCTGACTAACCAGTTCACTTCATAGCTAGTGCGTATAACTTATAATCCTCGAAGAACTATCCATTCATATTAGAATGTAAACCTGTAATATTATATAACTTTCCGGTTTACTCTTACAAGAAGCTATAAGATTTATAACAGAACTTAATAGTTCGGAAAAATCCAATTCCATAAACCCTACTTTATTTCAGGTTTGGGTGTGAAGCAATATTTTGAAATTTCGTCTTGTTCAAGAACCAGTTTTACCACTGCAATTACTCTGTAACGAGAAACCTTCTCCGACTATGTATAGCTATCGAAATACAATCCAGTACCTATCAAAACACATTCTGATAGATCTGTTTAGGACTTTTAGTGTCTTTGCTTTCACGCCGCTCTTGGTTTTTTCCTCTTTCACTTTTTTATTCGCCAGAGTAAGCGAACATTTTGAAAGGAACAACTTGAAGCGTTAGTTTCCGGCTTGTTTTTAAATGTAATTAGTAATGGTAATGGGACTGATTGGAGTCCAATTCGGTTTGTAGTCATACAAGTGAGAACAAAACCGTACGACCGTGCAGCAGGAGTCCGATTTGTTTATCATGAGTATGATTACAGACCGAACTAGGCGACATGAAGTCTTATTACCAATTAATCCAATAAATTACAATTTCCGAGAAAATAAGAATAGCCAAGTTATGAAAGGAAGGGGAAATTTGTATTTAAATGTTGCTCTTTACACTGTTACTATGGTGATTGAAACCAAGATTGTGACTGGTTGATTTAAACGACAACATTGAATGTGATTGGCTTGTTGAACTGTCCGATAACAACTTGGCAAGTAAATTAGTGGGAAATGGGATTTTTTAAATCAATCACAATCATAAGGAAATTGTAATTTTTATGATCACACGAGTAATCGCTACAACTCAGCGCAATCCATTCCCTTCATTCTCATTCTCCTCAAGTTTGGTTGTGAAGAGAAATTTGCTTGCTCTTAATGTTTGTATTGGCCGATTTCTCCACTTCCACGGAATTTACATTCTGGAACTAAAACTATCAAAAAATTATCCATTTTCCAAACAAAAAAACAATCATCGATAGTTCTGTCTCTAAGTCTTTTACTTTTGTTTCCTCAGCACGCCGGACTCGATCATTTTTAGTTCCCAAAAAAAACCGAGAGAAATGGGGAAATTTTGAAGAAAATATGGAATGTGCTACAGGAACGCAAATTACTGCCAAATAGAGATTGGAAAATTGAAAACTCTTGGGAGAAAGAGAACAGTTATCACAACTGGTAAGTTTATGTGAACTCTCGTAGCTGATGAAGGGCACCGTCTTTTGATTTTCGTATCTTTCAGTATGAAAAAGAACAATAAAAAGATCTTCATACATAAAAAAGCATTGTAGTAATCTCGGGATTCTGTGTCAGGTGATCATGCATACATCATGGCTCTCAGAACAAAGCAAAAATATTTTAAATATTTGTTTTATTGAAATCAAAACTTACATTAGTCTACAAGCTCTCTGAGAACAGGAGACAAAATCATTGAAGCGAACAAGCGACGTTCCTTGAAGTGAAAATCTTCTTTTTTTCTTCTTATTCTGTTTTTATTATAATGATGATATCGCACGATGAAGCGCTGACAGCTCGCTTGAAGCGACGAAGAGCAGTCACGGTTTTGGAAATTTTACGAGGTTTCGGTTTAAAATGGATCTCTACACCAGCTTTGCACATGGCCGTGGGATCTCCGCCTGAAAAGACTCTCATCTCCCTCACCACTTTGGCCCGGGAGTTCCCTGATGGCTTCGTGGTACCTAAGAAGGCAGAAGAAGAAAAAATATTAGCTTCACTATACAAGTTATTTCACAAACATTATTCGTTCTAGCACCAGAGGAAATCATTAAAAACTTAAAGTTCACTGGGTTAAAGCAATGCTATTTTGATAGGTTTACCCAACTTTCTTATTTATTCATTATTCTATGTTACGTTTTAGAACATGTTTTCACTTTTTTGTCTCTATTTATTTTTTGATGAGAGTTTTCCTTCTGGGGAAAAATATTATTTTACCAGGTTTCCTGTTGCATAAGAGCAATATTCTTAGTGCTTAAGTCGACCTCGAATTTTCTACCGTCTTACAGAAGTGCACTATTTCTCAAATTATCTTCTAAATACTGAGATCAGTCTTTACCTGGAAGTAGTTTCTCTGCCTCCATTAAAACCTGCATCACTTGTGCTTGGGAGCAGTTCACCTCCTTGTAGTAGAAGATGTTGGTCATATAGGCTGATGAGTTTGCCGGAAATTTTCCTGCTGAAAGCAGAGTGCGCGATTCTTCCTTTTGAAAACCATGGCGTTCAAAATCTGCTTTTTCTCAACATTTGCCGCTCTTGATCATTTGTTAATGAAATAGTGCCTGGGTTTCTGGCCCTCAGGGTGACAGAGTCTTCTAATTCGGTCTCTCCAGCTGAAATTGGATGAAAAAAATGATTTTTATCTTCGCCTGAGGCTCAAGACCTGAATGAAGAGGGAGTTTTCTCTTTGAAGCAAGTCCCAGTTAAGGAGGAAAACAATTTAAAGCGATCTCAAACAAATTATTTTCGTCTATTGCCCGAGAAAAATGATTTGTCAATCTGAATTGTAAAAAATTTGAATACACAAAATAGATTTTAAGTACATTTCAAAACGAAAATGAATCTTGAACTAGTTCACTCGCTTTAATCGGCTCTTTCATATGTGAAGCATGGTTTGAGCAACTTGGGAAAAGAAGGGCACTTAAACTCACCAACAGTGTTGGACTGAAGGACAAAAAGAACGGCAAGCGCTGAGATAATCAAGGAATTTTTCCTCATCACGAACTTGTGTTCCAAACACCTGAATTAATATGACGCTCCCTTTAGGTACGAATGGATTTGAGCAAAACAGCAGATTTTTTAGCAATTTATAAGCACAAGTACAATAGATAGGCTTTGAGCCACTGTAAATATTGATGATGTGAATTTCTTAACGTGAAAAAACCTCGTGTGAATTTAAAATAAACCCCAAGCAGACAGGCAACTTTTTAATGAATTGGACGTTCTTTATCTTGGCAGATTGTCTTAATAAAAGAAACTAAACAGATCCAAATATTTTCATTGTGCCTCTTGTACATATCTAGAGTAAGCTTATGGTATGATTTCTCGGCTTTTTACCGTTTCTCGCCTTGTGCAGAGATCATTTTGCCGCTAGATAAATGCAAGTTTCAATAAGTGCAAGATTTTAATTACAGGGGTCGTTCACTTACAAAATTCAAAAACCATTTTCATCTATACGTGGCTTTGATTTAGCTCAAATTATTCGATCTCAGTGCAAACGAACACAAAACTTTTTTGACACAAACATTTGTAAAGTACAGACGCAAATGAATGCAAATATTCCTAACAAGAATGTGATCTTCATTATGATCTTACAGCACAACCTTTCAAAACCAAGTTCAGAGCCTGATGGGCGCATTTGAAATCTCCCGACTGTTTGTCGGCAGCGCCTGATATAATCGTTATACTGAATTTCAAAATTTGTAGTGACTTTTTCGTTTTACGACTTTTCCTTATTACAAAGAGCTGGAATAGAACGAAAAAATGTAAATCTATAGCGTACTGCTATGATAAACATATTGGCAAGTACGTCAATCTTAAAAGAAGAGTGCTTTGATGAGTTGTGTCTGCAGAAGACAAATGCTACATACATGTATCGCTTACTCTACTCAGCAATTAGATGGTCGCTTGTTCGATACCAAGAAAATATCAAGATTGTGGCCCAAAGATATCTGAATAATAGAAAAGAAATCAGTCGGGAGGTGGTTTCCTTTCTTCATCTTACAAGAGTGCAGTTACATGTGCTTCTTTCGTGAATTACGATACGCGTGGCAGACCGGTTTTTTAACCCCTGAACGACCAAAACATTTTAACAATAGAAACATTCAGTAGCCCAAATAAATTTTTGTCTCCGTTTGGATGGTGAATCATCACTTGGGATACAAATATCGTATGCCGTATGCAAATCTTTTGCAAAAACATGTTTCACAAAAAGTTTTTTTTAAGAAGAAGATCATCAAAAAAAAAAATTCCAGACAATATTTACTCTCGGTCGCGTTTTACGAAAGAAGTTTACTAATTCTCAAAGAGATTTTTTTTTTCAAATCAATCTTTTGAAAGCTTACATATAGCAGATTCAAAAGAAGAAATTATATGCCTTTTATGAATTTTTTTGTCTTGAAATGATGGCTCTAAAAAATCCTCTGAACTTTAAACGATTCCTTCCCTCTTTTCCGGTTCAGTAGTTTATTTTTGGTCTTGCAGGCAGTTGTTTACATTTCTCTCATTTTCAACCTCTGAGGCCATTCATATTCAGTCCTTAAATAGAATATAAACCAATTCTTCAACAAAGAAAATGGCCCTTTGCATTTCTGAAAAGCACCTTTAGCACGTTGCATTTTGGTATTATATGTCACTGAGACAAACCGAGCAAACGACTGACTGTGACTATGAAACCAATCGCGTAGTGTGTGACAATGATTATTCAAAATGCTGTGTTTCCATTAGACACAATGCAAAAGCAGGAGCTACATAAATTCTCCCTGAGATGCACGAAAGTTTAATGCTTTATGCTGTTCAAAGGATCATTTGTTTCGGGAAAATACAGCCTTCTGCTCGGTTAAACGGAAAATTCGGCCGTTGGAATTGAAACGTGGGTGAATGTGTTTCCACTCGTAAAAGTTCCCTGCTTACAATTTCCTTCAAAGGAAAGGTATATCATGGCAAATAGTCCGTTTTTTAAACCTGCATGGTTCTTAACTTCGCAAGGAATACTTTATCCTTTTATTTTCTGAAACATTATGGTTCGATATAACAAACTCGTGGTTTGGAGCATGCATTTTGGTTAGTATTGAACTGCACTATCTTCGGAAAATAATCTGCGCTTTGTTTAGACGAAACACAGCTCTATCTTCTTGGTAAGAGAAGAGTCGCGCTTACATTAGTAAGAAGACTGCGCTCAGGCTAAATGAAGAATACCACTTTAGTTGTGCAGTAAACAAAGCCTTGAATGGGCAGAAAACAGCGCTTATGTCGAACAAAGAATTTCAAGCTTGATTCAGAAAAAAAGTGCGCTTTGGTTCGGCAGTAGCCTGCAGTGTGACCGTCTTATTAGGCGAGTTAACGTTGCATGCTCGCAATCGTTTATTCGTTTATTTTAGTGTTATGGTGGACGGTGGGGGGAGGGGGCGGTAATCTCTATTACCCCTCCCTCCTCCCTCTCCTTCCTTCTGATCGTCGTTCATCCCTTTGTACATAGTTGCTCTCCCCAGCCTTCTTCTGCCGTCATATTCAAAGATAGCAGCTTCAGTTTTCATAAAGAAAATACTGAACACTCGCTCGCAAAAATTATGCTTGCTCTACAGGCTAGTGGGAGAAGTTTGTTCTACTTACATGTAAATTGCGCTTTAGGTCTATTTTGTGCAAACGAATCAAAACTGGTTAAACGCATTGCAGTGGTTTAGCGAAGACAAAGCACTTTGGTTGAGCAGAAAGTACACTTTTGGTTGGGTAGAAATTTTCGCTTTCATTATGCATTGAACTGTCATTAGTTATGCTAGGGAAGTTTTCACTCGGCAGAGAAAATTTCATTTTATTATCAAAAAAGTGCGCTCTTGTTAGGTAGAGAACTGCACATTTCTTAGAAGTACAGCAAACCTTGCTTTTGTCAGCAATCTTTTTCGTTTGCTTGGACAGATAGCAGAGGTTTTGGCAGAATGGCGACCTGTGCTTTGGGAAGGCAGAACACAGAAAATTGGCTTAAATGGAGAAATGGAAAGCCTTAAATGGAAAAATACTACGATACATCAGGTCGGGGATGCAAAAACCTACTTTTTGATAGCTTTTGTAAGGGAGAGAACTGGCACTACGTAAAGTAAGAAAAAATCCTCTTTTCACATGCGTAAATCAATGCTTTTGCTTAGCAAAGAAATTCGTTTTGTTCCGCAAAGGGTTGCTTTAATTAGGAAGAGAAGAGTGGCTTTTAAAAGCAGACAAGCAGAGCTGTTACCCAGCTCACTATAGCGCTCTCATGGGCAGACGTTGAAAAAATTATTTTCATTGATCTGTCAGAGAAAACTCGACTTTTTCGGAATCAACACCCGCCCATCTGCTCAAAAACAACCCAAGTTTGTTGAATCTAACAATGGTATGCACAAAATTTTTTATTTTCTACTTTCCTAAAAGCTTGACGTTCTAAATACCAATAGAAGTGGTATTATGGTCAAAGAATGGTTGAGGGAAGGTTTTTTTTTAAAATTAAGTAGAAAAAGTAACTTTCACATTGAATTTATGAAGCAACGCCCTCTTTTCGGTCTTCAATTAACGTAAATATCAGTATGCAAGTTCTCCATCGCCTGAGGTGCTAACAACAAGAATTTGTCGAACAATCAGGAGCAGCTTCAGTTGGTGATCATTTCCTTTTTTCTCCTGTCCTTTTTGTTTGATTTAGAAATTAGATGGAAGTTACTTCTGGGGGTCGAAGGGGTAATTCTGGCTTTTTTTTTCGTTTGGAGCTCGTCGCAAACTTCATTGCTATTGACAAAGGATCTGAAAAGTTTTAAAGCTCTGTAAGTGTCACGCAAAGGGATCGACCATTTACTTGTGCCCAGACGAGTTTCTTAAGTCTCTTCACAATCTCTCTAAGAATGAAAACCCGAAATTAATTCTGTCTTTGATGTCAATTAAACCATACATGACACTTAAATCCATTTAAACCCTGGTTTTTATTGCAGCCCATTTTGCTTCCTCAAACTGGAAGTGCTAAAACAGTTTCATTACCGATAGCTTGAGCGTAACAAAATGGATATGATATGAATGAATACATAAAAATCTGGAATCCTCGTTCAGTGAAAGCGTCATAAACCTCGTCATCTCAGGTGAGTTTGGGTATACAAGATCATTCAGTTCTACTGAAACAGTTTTTAAAAAATGCTGTCGTCAAAAAGGTTATTCTAAAAATAACATTAACAATTTTTTTTGGTTTAACAGGTTTGGATGCAGCTATAACCCAAGTCTCTACGCGTTTATCATAAATAATTCCTCTTAAAACCAGAACTACGCTGTTTTAGTAGAGACTTTAATGACGATTTTAATCTTTCGACGAGTACGGATTTTTTTAATCATAACTTTCTCCTTTCGGCGAACACGGATCCTTTTCTTCATCCTTGGGTCGGAAAGATCCATCTTCTTGCGTCCTGTAGTATCGCGGCAAGGCTGGCCTCCCTTAAACTCAACCTCTAATCCTACTTTACACATTCCATTACCAGCATTTAAACGCCTGAATGATACTTCTCCAGCCACCTTACGAAACATTTCCTTTCCAAAAGAACCTTGGTAGAGAAACAAAGACATGTTTGAAGTTATGAATAATTTGTTTAACGCATAGTTTCTCGAGTAATTACTGCCTCCTTTTTTATTTTTGCAAAGGATCCTTAAGGTGCATGATTTTCCTGTTCTGTGAGCCTTTTGTTTCTATTGATTTGTTAATTATTGCTTAGAAACATGTCTGGAGGCATCCAGTTTCACGTGTTAGCTACCAAAATGCTTCAATTCTCCTTCCTTCCTTCTAAGAGATGATCAGGAAGGCAGAAATTGAAAAAAAACCAGATTCGTATGCGAGAAGACATATCACAAAATCGGCAACGCTGGCCTCTTTCCCCTTTTTTCTTTTCTTTTCTTTTCTTTTTTTTCCTCGTTTTCCTTTCTTTTTATTTCTATTAGCAGACTTAAGAAAACAACGACATGGCTCACCAATTTCATCTCGAAAACCGATAGTGTGAAATTCTAAGCGGGATGCAAATTTTATTTCCTTTCCCCACATTTTTTTCCAATTTCACTACCCTAAAGATGTTTGAAGACTGGATTTTTTGCTACATGCACTGGCGTGATGGTCAAATTCCTTTAGGCGAGATCTCTCAAGTTCAGTTGGATAGTTTAAATTGTTACGCGCCCATACTTCGACGCAAACATAAACAGACCTACTCAGTATTATTACCTGGAACACTTGAGTTCAATTCCGCTGCAATTTTACGCAAGGCTTCCTTAGAGCACTGAACCAATTTGTAGTAAAAAGTCGTTTTCTGGAGACGCAAAGAAAAGCCTGATTTTAAACATAGTTTATTCTCGTACCCTGATACGTGTTATAAGCGCAAATGGTAGACTTACTTTATAGACTCGGTATGATTAATGGTATTTAAAGTTTGATAGAGTTAAGCATGCACGACTCTTGCCTCAGCATCTGGTCGATCTTTTCCTGGCCTCTTAACCGACTTTCTGACGACTTCTTTCTGAAAGCCAAGGCTCTCGAGGTTTTTCAACCAGGTGCATATCGCAGTATTGGCAGGTTTAAAGCTAGGGGGCTCGGAAAACTTCATTTGAAGCTTCTCATAAGCTATGGCATCTGTAAAGAACACGAAAACATCATGATCAATTCGTTCTACAGCTGGATATATATATATATATATATATATATATTTTTTTTTTTTTTTTTTAGATTTTTATTTTTCACTTTTAGGATGTTAAGAAATGGCGCTTTACAGTAAAAATATTGGTACTTATGTTCAAAGAAGAGTTGCAATCCGTGGGTTTTGCATTTCCAATGCAGAGAAATAAAACCCACACACACGAAAGGAAAAAAAAACGTGCGCCAAAGCTTATTAACTTACCGTAAACGGAAAACTGGGTGAGCAAAAAACTCACCACGACGAAGAACTTCAATCCACGAAAAGTTTCCATCTCCAGTCAGTAATTGGGGTGTCTGGCTTATTTCTTTTTTGGTGCTTTGGCTAAAAAGCACTGAACAAAATGAACATTGACTCGAGATTCAACATTTTATACATTTACGATAACGACTGAAATGCTATTTTTGAACTGGGATGAATATTTATGTTGATCAGAACGTGATTAAGACGAATACCTACAAGTCTTTGCAGAACCTCGAGGCAAGAAAGACGATAACGTTTGCGACACAACCAATAAATGTGTCAATTCAAAACAATGGACTTCTTGATGAATTTTAAAAAAATTAACAGAGTAAAATAATTGACAATGAAGTACTCTCCTCTCCAGAATTTCAGGGAGTCACTATACTTAAATAAAGGCAGATCAAAAACAAATTTCTTCGATGAAGTGGGAACTGTTGAGTGTCACATTCTCGTAAGGATGGAGTCGAATCAAGCATACTCGCATTTCTAAATAATTTACCTTCTACAGCCAATATTTGTTTTGACGACACAATAAATTCAAATGTAAAATATATGAATATAAATGGTCTGAGAGGTAAGAGAATGTTACGATATTGTTCTTCAGTTGCCACTTACAAGATAATTTACCATCGAACCCATTTGCATCGGTTGATTTTTCTATAAAGGAAACACAGCGCCCCAGTTTCTCTTCTTAATAAATCTTTTTTTTTCCAATGCATGAAATTTCGCAAACAAGAACGTTTTGACGCTAATAATGAACACAGAAAAGGTACATTTTACATTCCACTATGCCAAAATTATTCTTACAATGACAAAATTATTTTCTCTCTGTTGTACCCCTATTCAAAACGTTTGCCATCGCAGAAAGTCGTCTTCTTTTGGTATTCATTGGCCTCTTATTTGGTCCATAATCAATTCAATTTCCCATCGAGTTCAAAAGAAACGTCCTTATAAACAATTTTGTCTAGAGATAAACTTACTGATCACTTACGAGCAGCAACATCTGAGCACTACCAAATAGCATGTAAATAGCACTAAAGCCACTCAGAGTTATAAAATTAGAAGATGGATAACAAAACCATTTGAAGCAAAATTTCATTCGAAAAGTTTTCATACTTCTGTTGTAGCGTGGTGCCGTGATATGTTTACCCTAAGATCAGTGGGTTGTGACGAACATGAAAATCGGTTCGAATTCACAAAACTAATTTGCAAAATCCTGGTCTTCAGGCCGCAAAGAGAGGCGAATAAGAAAATCTGATACATATGAAAAGAACTAGCCTTTTCTTCGCAAATTCTCTGTAAGACTAGAAATTATGAACTTACACTTATAAAACCGAAAAATCCCTCCGGCCACCTTGTTAGGTACAACCCGTGCTTGAACATCATAGACTCGTCCTAAAGCAGACATTATTTAGACTAGTAACAAAATATACATTAACAATGGAACAAATCAAATAAAAACTTGAATGTATATAACGGACATGAAATCTGTATATATCCTTTCCCAAATCGTCGACACATCTCCAAACAGCAAATTTTCAAAACAATTTTGTGATAGAGATTGTTAACATCACAAGCGCCCCGGCTGAAAAAAAAGATGGAAAAAAAATAAGGACTTCAGTTTCAATGGCAGATCAGATAACAATGTATTCGTTGGCGAATAGAAGCCCTCTTTTCTCAATGATCGAGTGTTTTGATAAAAATCTTTATTATGTTTGCCGTACTCAACCTAGCATGTACAGACAGTCTTGTTTGAATAACTAACCACTTCATAGCTTCATTGCATCAAATTTCTTGCGTTTAGTGAAAAGCTGCTCCGCATGGTCTCTTATTGTCTTTTCCTCAGTCACTTGTCTGTTCCAAGATTTACATCTTGTTTCATGAATTTTTATTATAATGGAAAGTGTCATCAGAAGGATTTTGTTTATGGTGCACTCACTAATACAAAGCACCTTGAACAGTCCTCTGAAAAGCACCTCTGAACAGTCCCAACTTTTTGAGTTAAGAGGTGCAAAGAAAACAATTAAATTTTTTTCTGAAATCAAGTATATGTAAAATTTAAATCGATAGATCAAAAAGTGACCCACATCAATATGGCTTACTGCTTTGTTTTACCAGAAGATCAGTGGTGTATGACGAACACGAATCTTCTTTCCATATTCACCAAACGCAGATAAGCAAAATAAAAATCATCAATCCTGAATGATAAGGCTAATAGGGACTTTAAAAGACAGAATTCGTTAAACAAAACCGGAATTATAGCAATTCAAAATTTCTGCAAAATCACCCAGTAGCTATTCAGCCTAAAAGGCAACCCAAACATGACAAAACTACCTGAAACTTCGATCACTATGGAATTCGAATAGTGATCCATAACTTGCTGTTGAATGTAACGAATCAAGAAATAATTCAAATGTGTTGACTTGTTGACAATACGCTAACAACTACGGTACAACAGCTACCTCACATTATAGCAAGCGTAAAGTTGGCCAACCTACAAACTTAAGCTTTTGTCGGTGGAGGCCTGCTCAATATAAACTTAATCAGGAAACGTTGAAAAGAACGAGCGATATGGGTTTGCTGTTGGATTTCGAATCCATTGGGAGAAGGGGACGATTAGTCTAAATGGAATGCTCGCGGCAAATTCCGATTTCATCGATCGATTGGAACACAAAATATTATTCTAATATACAGACCAGACAAATTTCCGACAAGGCTATGTAAATGCTCCCCACATTTAAACTACCATGGCACTGATATTGTGTAGTGTAGAACGAGGACGAGAACAAGGACGAGGACGCAGAGATGTTAAGTATACTGTTACACAGTTCGACGTCAGGCATATTCACTTGTTCCGCTCCCTAACGCTCCTCAATTCTGAAGAGTGAAATGGAAGAGCTGTATGACTTTAAAATAGCTTTTATTTTATACATACATTTATTATATATAAAAAACTCCCACTGGAAAAACAAACTCCTCAGCCTACACAACCACACTCTACTATTACAAGATGGTGAAGTGTTCAGGAGCGATGCAAATCGTCATGAAATTGGACAAGCTGTTTCTAGGTTGGCTGGTCAGGACACTATTCTCGGCATGTGATTTGTATTATTTGAAATTTATTATCCAGTTAAGTATTGGTCGAACTAAGCGAAGCTTCTTCAAAGCGGCCTTCTCCAAAGCGGACAATCTTGGATGCCCAGTCAGTTTTTGCTGGAGGATTGTGGGTTGCTGTTAGTAGTGTGCAGAAACAACAACAGCACGTGATTCACAGAGGGCAAACTGGATTTCATAAAGAGAAGGAATAGAAATCCAATCTTTATCGCCTTACTCTCTTTGCTCTTCAATTTCTTTTTTAACTCCAGCTTTCTTTTAGTTACGCAATTACCTTGCGAGTTATTCCGCTCCTGGTTCGGCTGCGTGAATCTCTCGCTCGGTCAAATCTAAATAATTGCATGGGCACAGATTGAATTTTTAGCATCAATTTGGCGATCACTCTTCCTTACGTTTTTACTGTTTGGCCGTTAATTTATCTGACTTTTAAATAAACGCTCACTTTAAGCCTGTTGTTATTACGTATGCGGTTTACTTTTAGTTTTCCGGTTAACGCTTTTAAAAAATGGTAATTAAACTGAGTTGAGCGCAGTTTGTGTAAGAAATTACATGATTACGAGTGCAATTTGGGATAAATTGGCACGAGTGAATTTTAACAAGGCTGACCAAATTACACGAGAGAGTGCAATTTGTAGTCTTTTTTATTCATAATTTATCCTAAATTAGAGCAAGAAATGGCGCAATTCGTGAACAAACTGCACTAATGATAGCCGATCAGATTGGAAGGATCACTAGTCATTTGATTTAGGATCTCACATCTTAATTGAATAATTAACACATATTATGAGGTAGCTCATAATATGTGAAAGGTCCTTGAACGTACTGCAGTTTCATGACATCCAGATTACAGCGGTTTCTATTGTGTAGTTTATGTCTTTTCCTAAAAAAAAATTAACTAAAATACTGGAGAATCTTATGGTGTACTTCTTTTGAATATGCGAGGTAACAATGCGTACCATTTGTTAACAACTATGACAGCAATGCGGCAATATAAAACGAGGAAGTTTCTTGATCGGTGTATTGCACCGGACCATTACGTTTACTATTTATAGTACCGCAGGCACTATATAGTTATATCGATCCTGCTGATAAACAACAAACGTCTGAAAAGCATTTTATATTAATTGGGAGTTTCATCGAAAATATCATTTCCCCCTCCGGAATGAGTTTTAGTCCTAAAGGCAGAAAGAGAAGAAAAAAGTAAAAATAAACGAAAGAAACTAAACTAGTGCCAGAGACAAGAAAAGCGAATTGGTCGAATCAAGTTCAGCAAGGTAAATGATCATGATGTCTTTTTCAATGGCCAAATGGATGTAGACAACTGAAAGGTTCAAATGTGAGGAGGTATATTATAATATCATCTTCATTTCGCTGAAAACTTTGAATTTAAGTTTTATCTACAGGAAGCAGAACGAAGAAGTGTGGATAATCACATCCAACTCCTTTTAATGTGTTTGAGGTTTATGAAATAACGATGATAACTGGTGATGACAATTTTTACTTCAACTAACCTACCAAGAAACGCTGAAAACGAACGGATTCGAAAGTGTGTCGTTGTAGCACGTAACAATTTTACATCTACAGAATGATGCCATGTATAATTGTACCTCTCTTGCCGCCTTGCGGCGTAAGCTTGTGTAAAAATCATGCAGAAATTGTCTGCGCCAAAATTTCATGAAGTCATGCAACATTGTCAGCTTGTAAGTCATAGCGGATCAATTTCTGACTCGCACATGACGGCATTCTGATATGTATCTCTTAGGTTACGAAGGTTACGAATGACTACGTCTAAAATGTATTGCCGGGTTTAAAGCTAAAATTATTACGAAGCATAGTTCCAAGATGCATCCCAAAACGAGGACTTTTCACCCTTTAAATAAAAAAACAAAAACCAAGGGAATTACAGCGATCAATTGGACAACGATGAATAGCACTTGGTCCCGCGAAATCTAAAAACAAGAATACGTTTTCTAGT